TGTAGATTACAATAAAGCCTTAACGATAAGTTATTTTAGTGATTTTTGATTTCATTTGATCACTTTGTGATTGTTGCAAATAAGAATTATTTAGTAATCACTATACGTGACATCTCTTATAACAGAATTCCCTTAGTGGATGATTAGTTATACTATCTAATCAATTGTTTAATCGTAATTTTGTAGATATACATTAACGATTAGCGATTGGAACATTTCGAATGAAATATTTCTCATCATTAAGTAGAGTAATTAACTTTAGCAAATGACCCTAATAGAGCAGTAATTCCGAGATTGTAATAGCCCATTACACTTAAATTTATTGATCAGAAAAATTTAATAAACTATGAATAACTATTTTTTTGTAAATACACAGTAAATAATTAAAGTCAGTTAAAATTCTCAGAAGGGGTTTTGTGGAGTTTTATACATTAGCACAGTTGGATGCCGGCTCAGTGGTCTAGTTGGTTAAGCGCCTGGCGCGAGGCTGATAGGTTCTGGGTTCGAATCTCGTGGGATACAGGATCTTCTATGCGCACTGCTGAGGAGTCTCATACTAGGATGAAACGGCCGTCCAGTGCTTCCAGGTTTTCCATGGTGGTGTAGCTTCAATTGACTCATGGTTTGAATCAGTGAAATTTCAGTTAAAATTACTAGAAATACTATACAATGTCGTAAATTAAACTTTTATGCTTAAAGTGATCAAATGTTTCACACTTGTAGTGTTGGTTACTATGTTAAATCTATATTACCATATAATAGCTTCCGGACAGGCCAATTTATCCATTCTTCTTCAGTCACGTTTTGACCTTGGCAATTATTTACTTATTAATCTTGAGTTTTTTTATATGAGTGTATGTGTATACACTTCTCATTTTTGTCTGGCTATGTATATTGATTAACGCTTGATTAAATCGAGTTGGCTTACACGCCTTCTCCACTGCACATCATTTCACTTCACTCCCTTCTCATCGCTTTATCCCTCTGATTGTTTGTTTAAATCAATGAGTGTACAAATTAAACTCATTCAAAAATCCATTCTCGTATTTGACTGGTTTAATTCCTCTACACTAACGCGAGTTAAGTCGATGATTATAGACGATAATAGGCGACATAGGTATTTCAATAACATTCATATGATCCAATCGGAGTCAGATCCCAAACCACTCAACATTATAGTAACAGATATTCATAAGCAAAAAAGGCTTTCGTTTCTGTATAAAATTTAGACTTTTCATATAGTACAAGGTAGGTTTAATGAAAGTAAACAGAAGGGGAACTTTAAAAAGACCAAATTTGTGTTCATGCGATGTTTACATTATATTGAAACAAAAATAATCTATGAATCGGTTAATGATGTTATTGTTTTAGTATTTAATCTGTAAATAAAATAATTTCAGTATTCGATGAATGATACATTTTATATCAAAATTTCCTCACACTTCATGAATACTTATGAAACAGTAAGGGTTTAGTCAAATAGTGAAGATAAACATCTTTTATCAGTTTATCAACACAAAACTGAATGATTTATATTATTCAGAAGAAATCAGGTTTATACTTCTGTCTTAGGTCTGAAACCCAGAACATGGACTTTTTTTCACCACAGTTTTTATTATGAATAATTTATTGGATGCTCCATCGATTTGAATTTTATAACTTCACTGAAGGATGTAAAATCTCTTGGAATTCTAACCTGCGATACAATGTCGCTTCTCAAACTCCTAGTTCTAAATAACTTCTTAGTTAATGTTAGTACATTTAAGTTGGAGATTGGTGAATTTATCTTCAGATATCTAAATGCTCTCCATTTTTAATGTAATTACGAAGTCAAAACATATAGTTCAGTATACTGTTAGCTAATAATATACACTTATCTTTTGCCTAAGACTGGATGTTTGATTTTATGACGACAGTAACTGAATAAAACTGGGACAAAACATTCATGATCCAATTTTCGATACTTGATAATGAGCTATTGCATTCTTGGATAAAAAATAATGGGTAAAATAAAAGCCATGGTCATTTTAGCTAATAAGTTAATATGTTTAGTCAACAGAATTCTCATTCTGAATTTATTGTATCGAATTATCTCATAATCCAAATTTATTTATCTCCTCTTATTCATCATTTTCGTGGATAAAACAAAAAACCGTCTATTAATCAAACCTTTTTCAATCCAATTGTAATAACATTGTTCTGAGATTAAACGTTTTATCAGAAAGGGGTCTTTGTGGTGTTTGTATTAATTTAATAGTTGAGATCATGAGTCAATTAAAGCTAGACCACCATGGAATACCTGGAAGCACTAGACATCCATTATGTCCTAGTATGGGACTCCTCAACTGTGTGCACTACATTTTAAACTTTTATTTAGCAAAATCTATTACTTATAAACACTGAATTTCATTCGCTGACACATTTTATTCTGTTTTCTTATTTAAATTTTAACAGAACATCACTGAAAACTATCTAAAAACCTACTTAAAATTACCCTATAAATGGCAATTTTTTCACTTGTTTTTGATTACATAGTAGAGCTCATTTAAAATAAATGGAAACGATAAATAATTTTTTGTGGCTTACAATCAAAACTGGTATGATATTGCTATGTGATATGAAAAGAATAATGACCAAAGAAGTAAAGCTTGAGCAATTCACTCAGAGAATGATTGAATTACGTACATTAATATACTATTATAAGGTAATGTCATTCACCGTGATAGTAATATTTCAGTCAAAAGAAATAAAATTCAATTGGAACAAGCACTGTAGATTCTTCCTTTGCAACTTATAACTGATTTGGTTGTTAATGTAACTAATCAGTAAATACGTTTTACAACTTTAATATATTTATGAAATTTTAGACAATTAAATAGACTACAACTGAACTCTTTGATAATATACTACTCTGTGTGTTACATTAAACCTTTGATGAAATAGATATGAATTCATTTCTTTTAAAAGTAATGATATCCGTTGAATTTTCTAAGGACTTTTTATTATATCCAAGATATGTGAGTAAGAGATGGTAAGGAAATTATGTAAGTCGTAAGCCAAGAGAAACCTAGCATATATGTGAATTAGTTCAAATTTCCACACTACATTTGTGCAGTTAGATGCCAAACTTAGTGGAAGTAGTAATTATTATAGTGTTAGTAGAAAAAAATTTAAGTATAAAAGATGTAATTCGGAAACAAAATATACTTATTAAGATGATCAGAGGAGTTTTGATTTAAAAGAAGACAAAAATTGGATGCACCTTATCTTTTGTGAATGATTCTATCCCATGTCATCAAAAGTGTTTAACTGATGTTTATAAGATATTAATTAATTAACACTTGAAATTGTATATAACAGATAGAATACTTAGTTTGATCAAATCGACACCTTCAATTTAGGGTGGTAAACAGATTCGCTATCAAAATTTAATTAAAAATGCTGATTATTTTACTGAAGCAGTAACTACTTGTATTGTAGTGTAGGAAGTCTTTAACGGAATCAAGAAAGTTTTGATCAGCAGTGATGATAATTACTAAGAATACTCATAGTCCTATACTCGTAGAAAAACTAGCGAATAGAGATCCAAAGACAAAAATAATACAGTGATGAATCCAAACAGAGAGGGAAGGATAAATTATCCAAAATGTGGTTACTGAATCATGGATGTAGTTATAAGTTGTTGAGTTGTATATCACCTATTCGGAATAAATTTTAACAAATGAAAACAGATTCATGTTCTTTGAAAAAAGTAAACTGTATAAAGCATTGATAATTCATATGATGAATAGAAAATGGTATGCTGTAATGTAAATCATAACACAGATATGAGAGATTTTAGCTGATTGAAACTATAACTGATAAATAAGGCTGAAAATCAAATTAAATATATACGCTGATAAAAAGTGAACAATTGTTCATTCCTGATAGTTTTAAGAGACCTTTATTCTGTTGAAATCATTGTGATGTTTAGAAACGTTGTACGTCAGATAGTAAAGAACGAAGTTTTTGATTTAGAGTTGCTCAGAAGTGGACACCCATCTTTCGATACATAAACTTTCCATATATATATATATATATATATATATTATATATATATATATATATATATATATATATATATATATATATATATATATATATATATATATATAAGGCTAAACCCCTAAAAATGTTACTGTAAATAAGCAAATCAGAAACCATTTGTCAGAAAATTATCGGGGAAAAAATCGGCCATTAATTGACCAATGGGAATTGTTACAATTCAAATATAAGATACCCATCTTGTCATAAAATGAATGAAATTACTTAAAACCATGATGTTTGTTTATGGTAATTTACATTATGAATATTTAACTATTTGTCATCTATGTAAGTTTAGTCTTATTTCAATTCACAAAATCTTTATAGACAAAATAAATGCTGGAAACGATAGGTTTAATATACACGATTTATTCTAAATATAAAGGAATTTCCATTCGATTACAATTGATGGGTAAAGAAGTAAAACAGTTTGAATATCTTAATTATCTTCATTACAACATCCCAGTTTTCTCAACAAACAAAAAACATTTTTTCCTCTTTTCAAAGTTGAAGTGCTATATGTGACATATAATGGAAGAGTTGACCTTTAGGCTACTCTTAGTATTTGTACTGCTTTAAATATAATTCAAGAATTTTCATAAGTAGTATGAGTCGTCTCGAGGTTATACATAGTTTAGCGAAATTACCTAATTTAAGTGTTACAATGTGTTGAAAATGCTTGTAAGTTTCCATTGTTTTTAGTCTGAACTACTATTGATTATTTTATGTTACCGTTTGTACATTCTAAGAGTATTGATTTGATAAAAGTTTATACAGACAACTTGATATGAAACTTTGCCCTGTTACTTTAAGTATCAATAGTTTGTTTACTATATAGAAGCTAAGCATGTAAATTCTTTGATGAGCATCATAAAATATGCATATTATCAATAGAAATTCTATAAATAATAACTCACTTCAAGATTTTTGAGATAATCCGACAACTGAACTGTTTCAATACCAGCTTGACTAGTCATTGTATTGTGTTGTGATTGAGAAAAGTTAAACGACTATTGTAATCTCAATGATTTGAGGTCACCAAAAAGGCATTAATTCAGTTGACAGAGATTGTTGTTTTAATGTTTTAGATTTCGTGTGTATTGTTTTCTGATTAAAAGGATAAACTTGGTAGTTTTGAAAAATTACACAATAAATGATTCAAAGATAAAGTTTTTTGTTTGTTTGTTTGTTGTCTTTTGAAAGCTGTTGAAGTAGATTTCTTCAATTATTATAGAGGAGGAACAAAACAAATTTGAAATTTCCTCATCTTCAATGGACTATAAATGTTTATATTATAATAAATATGTTTATTTATATACTCATAGAAAGTTGTAAGGGTACATGTATAGGTGAATAGATTTACACACTCATACACACACAGAGAGAGAGATAGCAATCAAAATATGTACTTCTAAACAAGTATAACGAAATAATAACAGTAATGTCAATTTCTGTTCTCTAAATCAACTTTGACATAAAGAAGATAAATACTGTTGAATGTTCAGCCAAGATAGTCTGTATGATCTGAGGTGAAATTTTTTAGTTTCTATGTGTAATGTATAATGTGTATGAGCACAGTAATTATTATTCTTATTATTATTAACAGTAGTAATAATAATAATTCGAGTAGAATTATAAAGTATACTAATAATCAATCAACGCAATGAAAACGAAAATATAACCGAATTAGATAATGCGTTGCTCAATCTAATTGTTAACTTATAACTATTGAGAATATATGGATTACATAAAAATAAGAAATTGAACTAGTGTTTATGACTGGATGAGTTAGAATTACACAAATTTCACTCATAAACCAATCAATTACTTAGAAACACACTAATTTTGTTTCTCATTTTTCTCTTCATTAGTGTTGTTTTGTGAATGTTTTAAAAAGAAGAAGAAAAAAATCAAAACGTTTTGTGCTAGTTGGATAAAATTACAATCGATAAGAGAAATTTCATTTTACTATAGACATATGATACAATGAAACAAACTCAATTGTATACAACGAAAAGCTTGCATACGTTCGTTATGTGTGTGTGTGTGTGCAAATTGTGCAAATACTACATATACCTACACATACAGGCATACATATACAAATGAGGTGCATAACAAATTTATTCAAGATACTATGCAGTTATGAGTAAACGTTTGTTTGATTATGAAAAATACTTTACTTCATTGATTTGCAAGTTTCAAAAAAAAGTTTTCTTTTCCGACAGTTTCATTCTTTTGTCCTGGTGTATATGTTTATATAGTAACTTACAAACTTCACTGAATAATAAGACAGTTAACTTTGGCACATATAGTCACCTTTTTTTTCTTGAAACATTATCGTGTAAATTTACATAGTTTGTATATCATACATTTGCAATAGATTGTGCATCTATACTTATGTGCCTAATGGTAGTGTAATATTTGTATTGTTCTGAATACAGGTTCAATAGTAAGACAGTAATGATATAGATTTGAGTTGTAAATCTGAATTATGATCTGAATTCATAGGTTTTTGGACTTGTAAATAAGTAGGTATATACATAGGTACAGATCTATACTCAGCAAAACACTAAGTCAGTAGTGAAAAAAATTAGCATACACTGATTCAGTTCATTGATTATTACATTTCCATTGAAGAAATGCATAAAATTTTAAACAAATTATTTGTAGGCTTTATGTTATTGTCTATCTTTCTTAGTCCAATTTTTATATGCTAGTTTATATCGGTTACTGATTTATATTTTAATTGCTTAACTATACAAAAGTGTGATATAGATAAATTAGTCTATAACGGTGCTGGGTTCGAGTCCCAGAGTGAACATCAATTCTCAGATGCAGGTGCATCCAGCTGACGAGTCCAAAATAGGACTAAACGAGAGTACTGGCTCCTATTGCTAGCCACTACCCATCTTTTCTTATGACCCTATAATTAGTTGATTTTTTCTATATACCATGTTATATGGATTCATTGTTCTGTTGTATTAACGATGCTCATTATTAAAAAAACATCCAAAGTAAATAAGATAAAATATTTTCAACTTATCGTTTTATTCATCTTTTCTCTGGATAATATGTCAACCCAAGATGCAAATTATTTTCCATTCAACTGGTTACCATCAAATGATAAACTATGAGATGTCGATTAGGAAAAAAACTTGAATATTATAAAGGCACTCCTTAGTATACTCAACAAAACATCTTATCCGTCAGAAACATCTTATATTTAAAAGCTTTTTGAATCTAGTTGAATTATTCACATAAAATGGATTTATTTATATTTGGTGATGATTTAATTAGAAGTGAACTTATCAATGTTTATTATCAGAAAAGGGGGTTTTGTGGGGATTGTGGTAATTGAGCAGTTGAATTCATGAGTCGATTAAAGTTAGACTGTCATGAAAAATCTATAAGCACTGAACAGCCGTTTTATCCTAGTTTGGGACTACTCGGAATCGCGCATCCATTGTCCAGCTCGCGAGATTCGAATCCAGGACATTCGGTTTCACGCTCGAACGCTAAACCAATCCACGACTGTTCACAGCTTCTCACTTGAACTCCAGAAAATACCTCTTGAAACCAGTATTTATTTGATGTTTCTGTACTCAACAAATAGTTAGGAATTGAGTTCGTCAGTCTTGACAAGTTATTATATTCCAACTAGACCAAAAAAACGTAATTAGCACCAGAAAAGTCATCTGGCTTGACGGTAGGTTGTTATAAGAAGTTTTGTTTTCTTTAATCTAAGTAACAGTCTTTATGATCATACTAGACCTGAAATATTCATCTCATTTTATCTGCAAATGTCTATTCTGTCCACTAACAGAATTCACCTGATTTTCAAAATAACATCTTTAAAATTCTCCAAATAATATTAAGATTTTATAGTATGCGATAGTATGTGAGTTCATTCTAATTATTAATATATAAATGAATGTATTTTCAGTTAGGGTTTATTTTTTTTAAAATATTTACATTCCTCCCCTATTACATAATTCTTAAACCACATTATTATTTACGCATTTCCACCACCTGATCCTCCTAAATTATCTTAACTTTTCATATTCTATTTAATTATTATTACGTAACCTATCTTATGATTATTCAATTGCATTATTACACCACCCAACCTGGATTAACCCCCTTCTTTTGACCTCTGACCTATTTCTAGCATATATATATATATAGTTATTATTGTAACCCAATTATTTACACTCATTTATGTCAATTGTTTTCACTCTATCTCCATGTAAAAATTCTATCACATTTTTTGGTTTGTAAGCAGCTGACGAGAAACCTCGAAATAATATGAATTCATACTATTCTGCATCAATATTTGTTCTTGCTTTATTTAAATTCATAAAGGGAACCAATTGCATGAAGTAATTTAATGGTTGAATTCATAAGTCATTTGAAGCTAAACCATCATAGAAAGTCTGGAAGCACTGGATGGCCATTTCGTCCTAGTATGTGAGTCCTTAGCGGTGCGCATCCGCGATCCTGCTTTGCGAAATTTGAACCCAGAACCTATCGGTCCCGCACGCAAACTCTTAACCTCTAGACCACTGAGCCCGCCGGCATCTAAAGGTGTTAATATCTAACTTCAACCAATCCACGAAATGGCGCTAGATAAGTTTAGAAACAATCAATTTATCGAATTTACTTGTAGGCACCTTATATATCACTCGTACAAAAATGAAAATACAATGGAAAATAAGGTTCTTTTTAACCTTACACATGTTAATTTAGTCTCTAACTGTTGTCATTTATAAATGAATAAAACATGACTTGCAATTGATAATTTTTTCATCAGCAAACAACATTGTTTAAGAGTAAGTTACTTATTCTTTGTAGAATCTGGTAAACTCATTTCTAGTTTTAAAACACATTTTCAGTTTTTATGTTATACCTTAATTTGAATTCGCATACCATAAACTATAAATCACTTTGCTTGGAAGTCTCAGGTGAATAAAATAGACTGTACTGGAGTCGAATTTATTCAATTCCGAGGAAATTAAGAAACAAAGTATATTTTCACAGATTGAAATCATGAGTCAGTTGTGAGATAGGAACTCACTGAAGACAATGGTGTACGGTAGCGCAACTTCGTGGATTGGTTGAAGTTAGACATTAACACCGTTGGATGCCGGCTCAGTGGTCTAATGGTTGAGTGCTCGCGCGCGAAGCCAGTAGGTCCTGGGTTCGAGCCCCGGGTGGTGCGGGTTCGTGGATGCGCACTGCTGAGGAGTCCCATACCAGGACGAAACGGCCGTCCAGTGCTTCCAGGTTTTCCATGGTGGTCTAGCTTCAACTGACTCATGATTTCAATCTGTGAAAATTTCCAAAAATCTCCACAAAACACATTCTGATAAAAACAAAGTATATGTTTTGTTCAAAGCGAAAGAGGATCTGAAGATCACTTAGACAATATGCGATATGTTGATCGAAAGGAAAAGTAAGTAATTAGATTGACCTAATTAAAAGAAGTGTTACTTATCATGAGTAGCCTTTTGCCTTTGTTTCAAAGCCGTAGCATTTGAACAATAGGTTTTAGGAGTGTTGAAATTCGATTTTCGCAATTATCATAATATAATCCAGTCAATGAACATATGAATAGACCGTACATTTATGATAGGAACCAATAGTTCTGTACTTATTTCAATAGAACATAAAGGTGGATACTATTACGTCTTATCCTGGTATATAACAATACCTGTTTAATGACTTCATAAATCACTCTTCTATTATTTATTTTATTATGAACGATCAGAGAAAAACTAGTTTTTAGCTATGTAAAAAATATTGTAAATTAACTACATGGTAATTTGAGTAGGTCATTTAAACAAACTGTAGTAACTAATACATTCCCATATCGTTTGATCTGGCTGAAGAATTGTGATAACTCAGATTTCAATGTCAAATATTAATGTCCTACTTCAATTTGTGTATCTCTTGTTTTGTTCAATAGGATTTTGTTAATTTATTATGGTTACATAGTATTTAAAAACTTTCCAATTCCAATCATATTGATTTGAAACGAATAAACTTAAGCTGGTCATTCTACCGTAATGAAATTACAACTTGTGCATGGTTGTCAATTACACAATGTATAATTATCGGTTTGAATAAAAATAAGATTTAGTTAATAATGAAGTTTTTTTAAAAATTAATTCAGTAATATAGTAAATCAATGAACTGGAAGTATTCACCTTGAACAAACTTTCTTCTATCCATTATTACTTCTTGCACAAGGGTATACAGAAAGCTTTAGATTAAACGAAGCTATAATTAATAAATTTTGTCATATAAAATCAATTATTGGATTGATATTTAACAAGGGCTACTTGGTTATCAATAACTTGAATTTCATAATGATTAACTAATATTCTAACAAACTGTATTCATCATAAAACATTTGTTTACCATTTTATTTATTTATTTTAGATTTCAATGAAAGATTAGAGCAACCAGAAGTTTGGCATAGATCACATTACTTAAGAAACGTTATGTACAAAATTAACGCATGAGTCAATATACTAGTGAAAATCAATAGAAGATTGGATCATTTGCAAATGAAGAATGTCTTAGTAATCATAAACTGACATTTCAAACAATATGGAAAAAATGTCTCTTAAATCAGATCGTTCCAATGAATCAGTAGCTTTTAAATGTAAAAATTCTATCTCTAGCGGTGTTTGAACAATGTAATGCACGAAACTGTCTAGATAGACTACAATAATTGTATGCTTCAACACGGTTCAAACAAACAATTTTCGATTGCAAAACTCTGAAACTAATAAAAACAAACATGTAACCATTTGTGATTAGTAAAATATTAAAATACTCTTTCAGAAAGGTTTGACAGTTACTTATGTGCTCTGGTTATTATCATATTCAAGTCAATGTTAATCAACAGATTTGTTAGGACTGATTAAGTCTATCAATTAGCTAAAATAATAAGTCATAATTAGGATAAATACTACCATACAAT